AAAACCATGGGTTCGAAATTTTGGCCATTGTTTTGACGCTCAGAAAGCAAATAGTTTGGAAATATAACAGCTGAAAAGGGGAAAAAAGTGGCATCGAATAGTCTTTTAAATGGTTGCCTATCTTTATTTTACGTCTTTTTATGACAGAGCGAAGAAACGGAAAAGACTTTCGGAACGACCTAATATATGTTTATTATTTGCCAAGCGATATCTGGAAGAAGTTTCGAGCGTTCAAATATGCGATTTAAGTGTTATTGTTGTGGCGCATTTTCCAAGAAATGCGTTTCAGGAGCAGGTTCTCGGTGAATTTGCTTCTTCTTTGTAATTAGGATACCCATAACCACCGTAAATCCAAGCCGACAGGCGCTGCTTCTCATCGAGCTGAATTTGATGAAACTCCACTAATTTCTTGTATTCAAACGCTTACAACTCCTTTAAGATGTCGTTCGGCAGCTAACAAACATACATTACATTTACAATCACCGTTTGGAAGAGAGTGTAATAATGTACAGCTTGTTTAGAGGATGGGTTAAGCTCTGACCATTTCCTTGTCAGCCCAGCTCGTTTGAGCGCTGGTGCGACCTACAAATTTGAAGTGATAGAAGAGCAAGAAAAGAAGAGACTTCTCACGATCTGATTACTTCCTTGAATTAATGGGTTTATTTGAGCAACAGACTAACAACAGTTGATAGAAGTACAACAGAATAGCAGCAGATTTTCTGTCGCTAACTACCGCTTGCCAAGAGGATTATATCAGTGCTGTAAATTCTCACATTTACATCATTTTTATGTAATACACTTACTCAATGCTTACTCTGATGGTGATAAACTAGAAATGGAATTATAATATATTGTTTGATTTGATCGCACACGCTCTAGAAGTTTCAGATAAGAGTTAACTTGGTCCAAAAACTTTATTATTCAGCAAATCACAGCTAATGACCTTAAAATCAGCCTAGAGACATGCTAAATTTGTTGTCTAATGAGAAGGAACCTCTCTTCACAAATGCTTTTCAGTTCTCTCAGCAATATGTTAAAAGCAGGCCCATTGATACAGTATTCTGTGCAACTGCGTAAGTTGAAAATAGCTGCGGAAGCATAATTCTTTGCATTTAGATCATGCTCATCAATTTCATTAGAATCCACATTATAAATTTTTATCTTTCAACTAAGGTTACTTTTTCTATCGAAAAACCACCGATTCTGACACTATACAAGAAGTGTACATCTGCACATAAAAGTTCTCAAGTTTTTTTTATCACTTTAGGAAACCTAATACTAATATGTGACTGAGACTTGGCCTAGCGATACCGCTTGTCGACAGATGGGAAATCTCCATACCTCGGCTGAGTATCTATTTATACTGTACAGAGGGGTCGATTTCTACCGGTCAGCACCACCCGGTAAGTTTAAAATTATTTTTCCGTTGAGCGAGCACTGAAGCCACAAGGATAAACCACTAATGTTTCTGCGAGGCAGAGATGCATTGTGTAACAGTTGCTGCAAAGTACTATACACGAAGTCACGATGCATTCTAGCAATAACTAGAAAAGGCTGTACGAAGTTTCATTTGTTATTGATAAATCATATGCACCGGCGTCCATAATTCGCAGTGGACACACCGAAACGAAAAAGCATGCGTCAATATATCATTGTACAATTGACTTTTGATAATCGCATATGCATACGCATAGGTTTCGAAAAAAGGAAGTCAAAAAAGCATTAGCTATAGTCCGCCTATAGTTTGCGTAAAGCCATTGTTCCTGTCTTCGCTGATTGTACAATGCAACACCTTATCAGTGCAGCCGTACTGCTGGTAGCATTTAGATTTTACTGTTTGGTAAAGTTAAGTTTCCTCACTCATCTTTTTGAGGTAACCGTCAATTCCTTCGCTTCTTCGCAGGAATGTGACATTCACTATGATGAAGGGCCGGGCCTGGGTCTACCAGCAGAAGAACGGGATGAAGTGCTTAGGATCGTAAATAAAGCTCGTCAGAAGTTGGCTAATGGAGAGCAGCAGAATGGCGGAGGAAAAAACCTACCGAAAGCAAAGGGAATTCCAGATGTGGTCAGTTTCGGCGAAAGTGCATAGTTTTATCGCTAACTTCACTTCCCTTCAGCCGTAGATCGGGCAAGCGAATTGTGCGTGCACATTGTTCACAAAGCCGTTGCTAGACTTCATTTTGTGCGAAATAGAGGCTTGACCGTTACCTACGAAAGGTTATGAGAAACTCAGCGGTACACTGTTGTACTGAGTTTACACACGCGTGCATAATTCTGGTTGCGAATCTGTCAGCAATCAACTGAGTTCATTAAAAGTCAAATTCTGCTGATGGTCACCAGATAAGAATTGCTTAGTCGACCATTAGATACAACTTTTTCGAAAAATGGGCTTTATGAAACGTAAAGAAAGTGGACCAAGCATCGAGCAAAATTCACTCGATTTTATCGTCGCGATTCCATTGCTGCATTTCGAATGCAGAATAGGTGAATCGCGGTTACGAAATTGTTC